CTTCCATTTGTTGTATCCCGAGGTTTACATCATATTTATTTGGCTAAAAATTTTAATCGAGTCGTTTTCAAGAATCTACCCAAATCATGCCGTTTAACAACACTATAGTTCTTGGCTATACAATCAATCTCATGAAATATATCCTTAAATTAAATAAGGAGAAAAGTATATTTAGTAAACATAAATAAACTCTGACAATTCTGGGGATGCAAAACAATTTTCCAATTTCTTTCTTTCTTTCTTTCTTTCTTTCTTTCTTTCTTTCTTTCTTTCTTTCTTTCTTTCTTTCTTTCTTTCTTTCTTTCTTTCTTTCTTTCTTTCTTTCCAATAATTTTTTTTTAAAAGAGCGATTCTTTAAATTTTAGTCAAATACATGCTACAGATTTCTTGAAGGTTATGCATGAAAACTCAAATTAAGAAGAAATAAAAATTTGACTCTCCTCGATTTCTTTTTAAAAAATGGAAAATGTGAGTTATAATATGTAGACTCTAAAATTTTAAAAATGTAAGTTAACAACTCCAAAAAAAAACACATAAAAGAAAGGCTCTATGGAAAGAAAATTTTTGAAGATTGTTGTTGCAAGACACTTGGATCATCTGTGAATGGAGATAAATTATGTAAATTTGATTACGATAAAATATTTCGCATATGGGCCCCAGGTCGGAGATAGGGCAAGCGGGGTTAATATTATATGAGATATGGACGAAAACTGATTCAGGCTAGGGTAGGGTTTTGATAAATTTAACAATTTTTAAATTCGTTTAAAGAAGGAGAAATAAAATCCATATCTCATCCTGATTGATTTCATTTCCAAAACATATATGTTTAGTGGGGTTAGATTATTAATATATTTATAAATGGGTGTATATTGTAAGATAGTTTTTTTAAAAAAAATCTTTATATTTCTTTAAATATTATTTATTATTATGTGGATGTAGCTCAAGATAAAATTAAATGAATATGCTTTTTTATTTATTTGAATTAAGAAGAAATAAAATTCTCCTTTTTTGATACTAAGTAAATATTACAAGTCAAATAATTAATATTCATTAGATAATTTTAAATTTTAGGAATTTTTACTAGATAAATAATTCTTCTGACTGTGATTATTGATAATAAAAGTTATTAGTAAACAACTAGTGAAGCACATAGTGTAATATGTATGCGTCATATTTATGATGATCTCTAATACAAAAACATTGGAAAAGATGTTTTTTTTTAAATATTTTTTTGACATCATGCCAATTATTATTTAAAAGCAAATAATTGAAAATTGAAATGGGAAGCCATTAAAATAATTTTTAAACAATGGCGGGGCGGGCGGGCAGGTTAAATAAATATTTAATAGATAAGCGTGAGGATAGGCGGGTAAATATTTTTTTAAAAGATTATTATTGGACGGGCGGGCGGGTTAAAAAAAACTATGCTTTTTTAAATATAAATAAATAACATAAAATGTCATTATTTTTATTGTGAAATGAATGTAACATGACAGATGTCAGAAAAAATAATCTAAAAGTAATACAAAAAGAAACGGGCAAGAATTTTATGGGTAAAAAAATTTGGTGGAAATCTAAAAAAATTCAGGGTTGCAAGATTCATTCAAACAAAAAGCCGGAGAATTTAACAATAATTCATTATATTAATTTTTTTTTCCTTGTGACTTTTTCTTTATTTAAATGAATATGTTTATTACGCAAGAGTAAAATAAATGAAGGATAATAGTGTATATTATTTCTTTTAATATAAAATTAATAGATTTTATTTAAAAATCAGTATACATATTTTTTAGAAGATTTTATATTATTAATTAAATTATTATTTTTTGTTTTCATATTACTTAAAATCTATACAAATAAAATTAAAATTATGTTTGATCATTTATTCCACTTCTAAAACTGACGAAGATAATCGTTTACGATCTTTCAGCCAGATATTTTTCATTAAACTAAATATGCCCTCTTAATCTTTTATGAGATGTTTACATTAGTCAAATTCGATATATTATTATTTTGATCTATAAATGTATTTAAATAACGAATTCCTGGATTAATTCATCTAATTCGATATCTTTTACATTAATTAATTTATTAACGATAATACTTAGATTATTTCTTTTATTATTTGTAAATTTATATTTTTTTTTCTAAATACTTAATGATTTTAATGAATTTATTAACTTCATTTTGAAATGAAATCTTATATTACATAGCAACACAAATAATAGATGCTGGTTAATTTGCAGTCATAGTCATGACACACTCACGATGTAAACTAATATCAGAATTTATTATGTTGGATAAATTGATAAAATAAAAACACTTAAAATCTTTGGTAAAAATAATTATGCAAATATATTGAAGCCAGTTATTTACACGGCAAGGATGCCATATTATAAATAAAACATTTTCTAACCATAAAATAAGGACTAGAATGATATGATGAAACAATTAAGATTTTATATATTGTCGCACCACCTCTAGTTGATATATTATATCTTAAAATAATAGTAGTTTGTAATAATATCAAATACACTCGTATTATAAATTTAATTCAAAACTGTTTTTCAATTAAGAAAAAAATAGCTAAAATCACGTAAAAAAAGAGAAGAAAAGATATCTAATTCATTACATCCATTGTGGGATGAATAATAAGATGTTTAATTTTTAATAATATTTTAAAATAACTAGATGGCGTTAGAAAATTGAATGCAAATTGTTACTTATATTTATTATCAAAAGCATTTATTAGTAAAATTTATTAAAATATTAACTTTAATATATTATATAACTGTCAAATAAGTCTGAAAAGTAGCATTTTACCTAATATTTTATAACCAATTATATATGATAAAGGATTATAAACTATATGTCTACTTACTTTTTATAAAGAAATCTTTTAAACTTATTTGGACATTGAAAATATTTTTAGGAAGAGGCTTGGTCATTAATTTAAAAATGAATAATACAGTTGAATAGGGATTTTCAGCTGATCACAATATTAAATTTGTTAATTTACAATTAATATATGTTTTTATTTTTTTAATTAGGGTTAGTAAGCTTCAACTGCTAATGCTAAATTAATATTTAGTGAGTGATATTGATGTTCTATTTTTAACACAGAATTTGATTGCAAACTGTAGTGAAAATATAATTTATTTGTATTAATCTAATCTAATATTTAAAATCATAGGCGTCAGGATTTTCCTAAGGGGAGATGGGAATTAAAAATTTATATAAAATATAATTAATTACTTGTATATACATTAATATAAAAGCATGGTAATAATTTCCAAACAAGTATAAGAAATTTATTTAGAAAAAGTAAGTAGGCATATAGTTGATATTCCTCTATTATATAGAATTAGTTACAAAATACTAGGTAAAATTCCACTTTTACAGATATATTTGACAGATAGAGAATATATTACAGTTAATATTTAAAAAAAAAATTTACTAATCAATGCTCTTGATAATAAATATAGCAACAATTTGCATTCAATTATTTAATGCCATCTATTTATTTTAAATAAAATATTAAAAATTAATCTTCATATTATTTATCTAACAATGTCTTTAAATTTTCTGATATTCTTATCAATATTTTATATTCTGTAAAATATATAATTCGCTATATTGGTAAAAATTACTTGATTGTCATATGATAATTGATAAAATTTGATATACTGTAAATCTACGACATTTAATATTCCACTGTTTGTATTGTCCTTTAATTTTTTATTTAATTTATGATTTAATTTTATCAATAGTTTTATAATTATATTTTACTTTTATTAAGATAAATAAATTAAAATTACTCACTTTATAAAAAAAATATATTTGACAGTGACGAGGCGTCAAGTTTACTACTAGGGAAGCAATCAAAAAAAATTTTTATTTTATTTATTAGTCAAACCATAAAAAATTAAGATTTATAAATAAGCGGAATTCGTCTTTGTTTTTGAGTAAAATGATCAAGTACTGAATTATAAAAGTTATTACTAGATTTTAAATTTTTCAATAATTTTCTTTCAATAGAAATCAAAGCTAGATTCGATAATCGATTTTGACTCATTCTGTTTCTACAATAAGATTTGATTATTTTTAAAGATGAAAACCCCCGTTCTGCACTTGCTGTTGTTGCAGCCAAAGTTAAAATGAATTTGCATAATTTAAAAAACTCTTTAAAACTTTTCATCATCTCTTTCTAAATTCATCGTCACGAAACACTACCTTTAATTGGTTTACCAGCTTGTGTAAGTCGAAAAATTGAGAATAAGTGTCATTTAAATTGTCTAATAAATATTTGGGGAAATTTTGATTAAATATTTTGAAATTTACTAATATCTAACAATTCGACGAATTTGATATTTCTTAATGTATCAAACCGAAAATCAATTTCATTGAGTATCTATTATTTTAATTATCAAATTTTTATAAAATTCTCTTGTATTAGGCAATCCGGATCTATTACGTTTTTTATCTAAATTGTCTTCAATATTTTCCTTTACATTTAAATTTCTCCAAAAAACATCAAAGTTTTCTATGTTAGATTTAACTGAATTTCTGAAATCGTTAATACTTATAAGACAATATGATACATCGTTAATTTTAGTTTGAAGTATATCAAATAATAAATCAGATTCTGGAAAAACTTCTTGAAAAAAATATAACAAAATTAGAAAATTTGCATCATTTAATATATTTAAATAACCACGAGATGTTATTAGAACATCATTATCCCAAACAATATCAGATTCTTCATCAATCATACTTTAAAAAAAAACGACTAGATCCTTCAAATAATTGAAAACTGTTTGAACCAGCCGATCATTGTATTTCCATCTTGTTGGGGCTACTCGTGTAATCTTTTTTTAACATATTTATCAAATTCTGCTGTACGCTTAGATGATGTACTAAAAAAATTGGCTAAACCAGATAAAGTTGCAAAAAAACCTTACATTCTTTAATTTTGCTGCAAGATTTTGATAATATAAGATTTAATTTGTGGCAAAACAATGAATATAAAGTGCAGAAGGATTGACGTCTCTAATTTTTGCTTGCAGTCCATGTGAATCACCTGGCATAACAGCTGCGCCATCGTAACTTTGACCCATCAATTTTTTCATAATTTTCTTATCATTCAAAAATTTAATGACAAATTTTGATAAAGAATTAGCATCACGATGCATTGTAACATCAAAGAATTCAATAAATCTTTCATATAATGTCCCGTTATTTAAAACATATCGAAGAACTACAGCCAGTTGGGATTTATTATTTATATCAATTGTTTCATCTAATATTATTGTTATAAATTCCGTTTCTTCCAATTCATCTAATATTTTTTGGTGTAAGACATATGAAATGGAATTAATTAAATCATTTTGGATATCACTTGATAGTCCAATAAAAGTTGTACTATTTTCTAAATGATGTTTTAATAGCAAATTTTCTTCCGCAAGCAAATACATTAATTCAATATAATTTCCTCTATTTACTGAATTAGGTGATTCATCATCACCACGGAATGCGAGCTGCTGAACTCCAAGAAAACATATAGAATTGATTAAAATTTTCAATATTTCTCTATATGATTTAACTTTCGAATTATGCTGTTCGATTGATATTTTGCGCATCGAATCTATCATATTTTCAATACGAATTTCGCCAAATGTTTTTAATTGAATCATCGACTGCAAATGAGCTGTTGATTCTTCATGTCGTTTAACTGCCTTTGAAAAATTATTCATATCCGAAAATCCTCTATCATTTCAAACATATTTTTCCTTTGGGAATAATAAGCATGACCAACAATATAGAGAATTAGAAAATTCACATCCAGTGAGCCATTCATATTTATCGATAGAAAAATTACGAATGCAAGATTTTATTTCTTTTTTTAAATTTCTTAAAATTGGCTTTGGTCTTCCTTTTTCAATAATTAATTTTTTGGTATCAAAATTTCTTGAGCTAAATGATAATATTAATAAATTTTCAATAATACAATTACAATTAATCAACATTAATTTAAAGAAAAAAAAATTTTTTTTAAAAAAGTAAGAAAAAAAATTTAATATAAAAAATTTATTTTTCTTTTATAATAGAATAAGCAATTTTTTATTTGCTTCCCCAATGCTTATATTTTAATCGTAAAATTAAACAATATCATAACATGATTTTCTATTTATTTATTGAAAAAATAAGCAATATTAGATTTGATTCCCTCTTGTATATTTTTTTTGACGTAATAAAAAAATTACACCAAAAAAATATCGTATGAATCATGATTTATTAGTATATTTATTATAGGGAAATAAGCAATATTAAATTTGCTTCCATCATTTTTTAACATAGTAAATATAATAGTAAATTTTTGAACGTAGTAAAAATAATAGTAAATTTTTTAACGTAAATTTTTTATCGTAGTAAAATATTATAAATCTTCTTAACGTTATAAAAAATATATTAATTATTTTAAGGAAGTAATTTTATTTTTTTTTAGCATAGTATAAAGATTATATTAAGTTTATCTAAGAATTTTGTAAAAAAAATTTCAAGGGAAGCAATGCTTCCCTTGCTTCTATGGACGCTTCGTCCCTTAGTAATTTTATGGAATAATTATAATACATTTCACTTTTGTCTTAAGACTTATCTTATATTCCATTTCTTAAAAAGCATTTTTGGTTCACTTTTTTTATATATAAATGCTTTTTTCCAAAAATGTATAAATTATGATGAATATTTTTATAAAAAAATATTAACTTTTACATTCTTTCTTTCAATTTATTGTTTAAGTTATATGCATGCATTTTTGGGGGTCATGGAGTGGAGGGAGGACCAAGGGGGATATTTTTTATTAGCTTAAAATGATATTCACAAAAATTGATAAATTTCTGAAGGGGGGCCCTTGCCCCCCTCCTGGCTACGCTTATGCTTAAAATAGTATTCACTTAATAAATATTTAGACAATCTTATTAATTTTTAAATAATAAAATTAAATCTATATATTACTTAATAGAATGATAAAAGAAATCGTGGGGGCAATCAAAAAAATTTATATTTAGTTCAAGGGGTTAAGATACCATTAAAAAAAAATTTTTGCTTCAGGGGAATATTTAAATTTTTTAGGGGGTTCGAACCCCTGCGCCCCCCCCCCCCTAGCGACGCCACTGAATAGAATGAACTATATGATAATCTTGCTGATCGGAAAATTATTGATTATAGCGAATTAGTTAGCTCATCCGAATATTTTTTGAGAAGACGCAATTCAATTTTTATTGTTGATACTAACATTTTTGAACTCTTATGACTTATAAAAAAATAACGTAAAATATTTTAAGAAAACATTAAAAAAACGTAGCATCTGGATGCTATTATTTTTATATTCAACACATTTAAAACAATATAATATAAAATATAAATAATAAGATATAAATTTTTTGATTGATTGTATAAATATGAATTCCCAAATATTAAGAAAAGGAAACACTAACTCATTAAGGATGCTATTACAAACTTACATTCTTTTCACATATATGTCGTTGATTAATGTACATTACTGTCCTTTAATCAATTTGCACCATAAAACGGCGCTAATCCGATATATTTTACAATTTTAAATATATTTAATACATGAATCGCCAATCTAGTATTATCACATTATATTACTACAGTTTATTTTTTGATATGATTTAATTAATCAGATAATCGATTGTTAATTTTTAATATATATTAATATTCTATAACTAAAGTTATATAACTAATTTTAATATAATATAATATAGAATGACAATACTTTTGAATTAAAATTATTTACAAAAACTAATGACCACTTATTTTCATTAAATTTACATCAATTCATAATATCATATGGTATGGATCCAGCTTTAATCAAAGAACGGGAGAAGTTTAAAAAAAGAGCATTAGCAAATGCCATTGTCAAAAATAAACAGGAACAATGTAAGAATTTATGAGAGTAGGTCCTTATGAGTTATATTTGAAATTTTAATTAAGACACTAGTTTTTAAAATAAAGCTTAGATGTTATATTAATAAAAAAAAGTAAACAATTATTTTGATTATTTCTGAAAAATATTTTAAGTGTATTTGATATAAATATCACTGTTATCAGCTATGAATTTTAAATAACTTTATTTGGAAGGTATATATTTTTTATAGCATATTTGGTATTATTTCTTCCAATTGATATCTGCAAAGTTTTATATACATTTTCTTATTTTTTTGAAAATTTTACACAAATGAATATGTTTTAAGATTAAGATGTTTTTAAATTTTTTGTACAAATTGCCCACTCTAATTAATTAATTTCTTATATATTAAATAATTTTCTCTATAAAATATCAAAAGCCTCAAACAAAAAATCATTAATTGCTTCCACAAACCTTACCACATCATCAACTTCTATTAAGTCTCGATATGAACCTCCCATTAATGAAAATGATTTAAGTATTACATCATTATCACATAACAACCTAGGTGCAGCAACATATACTTCTCATCACAAATTTAATGTATTGACAAAAGTTGTAAAACACTTGAGAGAAAGATTTTTGAAAGGATATTCTGATCATCTATTACTTGAGGAAATACTTGATGAAATGAAACTTCTAGATGTCAATAACAAAATTAAGCTTTGGCTAGAAAATGAGGTTATTAAAAAGTATTTTATATTTATTTCCCAAAAGTTATGAAATGGAAGTTAAATTACCTTATATTTTAATCACTCAGAATTAAACCTAGAAATGCTCAGAAAATAATTCTTAATTGACCAAAAAAAATACTAATCACTTGTGTATAAAACTAAAGCACTCAGATTGAAATATAAATTTCTCAGAAATTAATGAAATTCATATAAAAATTTGGAGCTGTATTTTTTATAATTTTAAGCAATTAAGAAAAAATTCTGAGCAAAATAATAGAAGTATATCTGTTATATAAATCATAATTAAATTTTCAAATCTATTAATATTTAAAAAATAATATTAAAATAACATCTATTTGCTCTTTATTAAAATTTTCGTATAATAAGACTTGCTTATTTTTCTCTCAGGATAATTTCAATAGATTAGATTATAAACCAAAGGGCTGGACCAGACCCAAATCACATATGTGGCTGAGAGTGCTTATCCCCTATTCTGAAACTTCTGAACTACTAAAAGGAAAATAAAGAGATGCCACTTTATGTTTAGGATAATTCTGAATATCTTTTATAAAATGAATAACCAAATGAGTGTATAAATACTGTGTGACAGATTTTTAAAATAAGATGGTTGTTATGACTTCAGTTTTGTGTTTTTAAACAAATGCTAATTTAATGTGTTCGTGAATAAAATTTGTTATATCAGAAAAGAGGGTAATAAATGGCGTTCCTTTTATTATAAACAAATTTAGGAGGTGAAAATATTCATTTTTTTTATTTATATTAAATTGCTATTACCCAAAATATATATTTATAGATTGGAATAAACGCCTTTTATTGTGAATAAATTTTGACTTGAATTGACATATTTTTATTTTACTCCTAGCCAGATCCCAGAATTTTTATAAATTTTTTGTCCAATCTATTTGATCCATCTATTTTTTCTTCTCAAATGTCCGATTCGATCTCTTATTCTAGAAATAGGTCTGACTCCTATCCAAAATAAAATAATATTGGATTGAAGGATTTTTTTTTTCAAAGCAGAAAAATAACTAGAGGGATATTTTGTTTTTATATAGAAGCATTAAGAAAATTAAATAATTAAAATTTTTTATCAAATTCATATCCATACATATAATATAACAAAAGTTACAATAAATTTCAGGCTTTACCCAACAACCCAAAAGTCAAGATGAGTAGTATTAAAAGCTCCGATGGTTCCTCTAAATTTATGTTTAAGGCTCCGTTAGATATAAGGGATAAGCGTTCCTTGCTCAAGCTTTTGGCTTACCGGGACGAACACGGACTCGGAGCCCTGACAATGGAGGAGGTCGAAGAGTCGCTACCCAACGCTCTTAAGATTGTGAAGGTTTTTTCCGCTTTTTTATAACGCCCATGCACTAAGTCATGTAAAAGTCTGTAACGGAGGATTTAAAACCTTCCCGCCCATGTCCCTCCCAGCGGGCGAGCATTAACAATGAGCGGGTGGGAGTTCGGGTTAGATTAACTTGAGAAAATGGTGTCACTAGAAAATAAACAAATTCATTTTTGTTACGAATGAAAGAAAAGAAAAAAACCAAATATAAATTTATTTATTTTTTATTAATCTCCAAAGATCTATGTATAATAAAATATTTTTAAAAATTCATTTTTAACTTTACTCAGATCGATAATATTTTATCTATTTATTTGTATAATATTAATTTTTTTAATGCTATAATATTATCACATAAATTTGGAATGCTAACAAATATTTGAGTAATATATAATTAAAAAATAAATTTAGCTTAAATGAAAAATGTCGTTGGTATGTTCTTTTGGCGTTGCGTTATTAATCCAACGATAGAAAATATATCTTCGCTCAGACGCTTAGCCAGGAATTTTCTACAGGTGGGGGGGGGGGAATAATTTTTTTTACTGAACATTACAAATTTATTAAGATTGATCATCATGCAATGACAATTTCAAAGCACAAATAATATATAAAGTATTGGAAAATTCAAAATATTTAAGAACGAATATTATATTTTTAAAATATTATAGCTATATAAACTGATGGTATGTAAATCACAATAAAATATTGAATTAAACATTGTAAGAATGTTTAAAAGGAATCAAAACATCGTTGATAAATGAAAATTTAATCTTATTTTCGATTGCGCCAATTTTCTCAATTATTTGTTATGTATTGGGGATTTATTCTCAATGTATATTAATATTGAGTAAAGCTATTCATTCAATCGAGTTGATGTCGCTTTTGAGATTGGTTTTTTTTCTATGTAATGAAGGGAAGGTCCTAATAACCGAAAGAATTATGATTTTCCGTCCCTAAACGTTCAACTTTAACGGTAAAATCACCTGCTATTAATATTCCTTCTCATTTTGGAAATTTTTATGAATAATACTCTGACAAGCTTGAAAAATACTTTCTTTCTAAATAATTAACCTAGAGCGTAAACGTTTAAAATGTTGAGATTTCTCGATTTTGCTTTAATATTATTCTATTAAAAGCTTTAAAATTTGAGAAGTATTCAGCCATATCAGTCTTTCTAATCTAATTCCACGATCTTTAGGATTCAAAACTAACTCAATGTTATTTGTATTAATAAACTAGGAAATATCTGTTTCACTAAAAGAACAATAATATTCATTTTTTGGGGGTTTTTAGAAGTTAAATTTAATGGCTTAGTTTAATTGTGTTATTTATTTATCTTGATGTAAGTTGTAGATTTTCAAGTACAGTAAATTTTGCCGATATTTTTAAAATATGACTGTAGGAAAAAAAAGAACAATGAAATTATAGAATCAAGAACAAAATAAGGTTCTATAAGATTATTAAATATTATAAGCAACAGATACAATAATTTTATTAAAAATTTCAAAAATATACTGTATACAAGATACAAAGCGATCTTGTTTCTTAGATTGATACAGGTATACACGGTACTGCCCAACTGTGCTGCATCTTGCCAACATTAGGTCCTTAATGTTGGATAAAACTAGCCACAAATGATTAGAAGCTAATCCTAGTAAAAAGTAATTTTTTTAACAAATGACATATTAGGTATGCAGTAGCTACCTAGTTAGACGGACGCAATCATAAACTAACCTTATAATTGTTTATGCGATATATTCTGATTTCAAAGCTAAGCGCCCACGTCATTGCCTGTTCAGCAAATACAAATAAGATATGATAAAGTCAATAAAATAATTAAAGGTGCCTTAGCCAGAGCCAACATTCCACAAACCTAGAACTACACAATTCACAACCTGATAATAGAACACGACCGGACAGATTCACTTTTATAATAAATGGTAGGCAAATGCATTGGGAGGGATCTTACCTGCATCATATTTTCGCGGAATAGCTAAAAATAAGAAAAAAAATTAATAAATACGCATATTTATATAATAGCTCCTTGCCAATTGTAGTTTCAAGATCCACCCGGAAAGGAAGCTAATATTCTTTTCAAACTAAATAGCCTTTTTTTTACTGAAGAAAAAAAATTAGTTTCGAATTCCACTATAATTTCAAATTATTTAAAGATTCATAGCCATCAACTTATGAATATGATTAATTATTTCTCTTTTTTTTTCATTTATTTATTCATTGTTATTTTATTGGAGTATTATTATTAACTCTTCATTTGTATCTGAAATTTATTATAAAAAAATCTAAAATTTAAGATGGCCGCCAATATTTTTGAAGACTCTTATCTAAAATTAATATTTACTTTGTAAACCCATTTTATAATATGTCATAGCCCTAAGCTAATCGCTAACGCTTATCAGACCTTAACCTGAACCACGTAACACGAATTTCTTATAAAATAATGTACCTAAATTAACCCTAGCCCGCATCTGCATTCACATTTAGCGTTGAATATAAAAATACAGCGTATTTTGATGCCGCTAATTCGCTCTATGAATTAGGTTTGCTTTCCTTAGGTTGCACACATAGAGCAAAAATTTAATATATTTTTTTATAAAAACCATTCTCATACCTAGTAGACATTAAATATTAGAACTTGGCTTTAGCTCATCATACCTAGTTTTGATTAAATTGGGATGAAAAATTAATAACTTAAATTCATATTTATTAGTTGTTTAAGTAGTTATTATATGAAATCATGATATCTTTTATGTGCACATGATGTAGAGTTATAGATTTTACCATATATTTAATCAGTACAATTGTATATAAAATAAATTATACCTACTGTCATTTTTCTCTCATCTGTTTTAAAAAATATTCTTAATAACATAATGTAATTTATATTAGCATACTGGATAAAAAATAAACTTGTAAAAGTATTCAAGTTTTTTTACTAAGCGCCATCTGATGGACAAATTTTTATAATATCTTTTGATGTATTATATTGATATAATTATAATAAAACACCTAAGATTTTGATTTAATTTAAATTAATTAATAAAAATAATTCACAAAAAAAATCCGATATATGATATATTAATGTTATATCCCATTACGATATAAATTACCAACACTTTTAAAAAAAAAGACTATATAATAAGTAAATAAGGTATTATTGGCTGACACTTGAATTCCCAATAAATTTAAGAAAATCGTTACTCCTGCTTATTTCGGGAGATCACCTTCAATGGATTAGATTTTATGATGATTTTCGAATCCATTTTTATTATAATAAGGTTCATTTTAAAAAGAATAATAAATTAAGGTTTAAAAAAAATTATTATTGTTATTTATAAATCTTGTAAGCAAAAACTTAACTTCCTTTTTTTTATATCTTCTAATATCCAATGATTATTCTAAAAAATTTATATGCATTCATAAAAAAAATAGGTTGTTTTTTTTGCTTAATTCAAGTTAATTGAGGAAGGCTACATTTTAATATTTTCTGTTTATTGCAGATGCTATTTCCCCATCTAATTAGCGCATTTTTTCTTCTTTTATAAAAAAGGGCATCTTTGGCAAATTGCAGTTTAAGGATGATTAACTTATATTGTTATTGGAAGCCAAAAATAATTAGGCCAAGTAATTCTTCAAAAAATAACTGATCTTATATTCAGATTTAATTCATAACTCATTTTTTCGGATTTAAGTCCTAACGCGCTTTTAAATAACAGAATTCAATCAATATACCTCTTGAGAAAATAAATTGATAGACTTTAATCGATAATGACCATCGTTATATTTTTATATTTTAATTTATTTATTAGAGATAGGGATATTTGATGCAAAAAAATGTTAAACGAAGGCGTATTAATTTGATTCTGAATTTGGGTAGTATATTATTTAGAAGATAATCGAAAAATCAATAAAAAAATTTTTAAATTCATTCGAATACTTCTTTAAACGCAATGCAATCATTTATAAATGTAATGTATGTGTCATAGTGATTGAGCGATTTATAATTCCGGAAATATTCGTATTCCGGCAGGTATTCGGGCACTGTGCGACTGTCACAGAACTTCGGGAGTTTCGGCTTGAGATCTTGCCAGAAAATATCGATTTTGCGGGTATGGACAGGTATATCGCTGGGCTGGACAAACGAAATACGGTGGTCGGTCTCAAAATTATTTTCGCCATTTTTATCTTCGGGACAATCATAATACCTTTTTTAAAAAAAAAATATAAATATTTATAAATTAAACTATTATACATTACCCTTTCCACGAGTCAGTTATAATAACAGTACCCTCGAGAACATTTTGTCGAACGACATCTAAGAAGGTTTCTCGATTTCTACTCAGGGTGGCCCACAAAAATATTCTGTCTGTATTGGGACAAATGCCTCCGATAATCCAAAGAGCCTTCTTGATTAAAACTCCGTCGCTATTATACTTGCTTTTCCGGACAAGAGACTCATCCATTTCTACGATTTGTCCGGGGCCGCCTACCTTCGCGTGATTGGAGGCTACCCGGAGTTGGCACACTTTTCTAAATTTTTTGTACCTTATAAAGTAGTTTTTAAAAAACGAAAGATATAGGATTATATACCATAGGAAAAATAAAAAAAAATATTACTTTCCTTACCATTCAAACACATAATTATCAAAACGAGGAAAGCTAGAGGGACAAGAAATTTTTTGCCATCAGCTGATTTGTCTTGATTTCTATTGGGCGTTATTAATTTTTTTATAAAAATCGAACGGACAAAGTTAATGAAGGTTAACGGTTCGGTTCGAACAAACAGAGGACAGGACTGAGCCAAATATAAAAAGAAACAATCTTTGGTCCAGAGTATTAAATTTTTGCAAGCTAAAATATTTTAATTTTCAATTTTTTTTTAAACATTAAAATTAACAATAAATTTGCAATTATATTTATAAAAATAAATTTTAATAATCACATAATAATAAATGTGTCTTATTTTAACTATTTTCTTTTTTTTGTAAAAATTAGATAAAAATGGTCATCTCTCATTATTATCTTGATTTTCGAAACCTTTAAGATACCCAAGAATGTAAACCCTTTGACAAAAAAAGGTGAGGATATAAATAAAATCCAAAAAAAAGGTTTGGGTTCATGGGCTTGACAGCATAAAGAAATACTTATTCATTATCAATAAACACACAACTAGTCGATTTAAAAATGGCATCTAGCCGTGTAATAGCACAGCAGTTATGCAACCCTATAATGAGACCAACTCATAATCCTCATCTCTTTTTTACCATTTTGTGGCACATTGATTGATGTTTAATTCTCTCGTTGCTTGTCCAATTTTGTAACGGCCTAAATAAAATAATTATATAAAATATAGAAGAAAAAATGTTACTTATGTAAAGATATATCAACTGTAGAAATAATGGTACGTTGATGACCTTTTCGAAGATAGAATCTATGTAAATAATTATTTTTTTTTAAAATAATTTTTTGGAGCATTTTTTTTAATAACCAATCCTATTTTGAAAAATAACAATTTCGGACACATAAAATAATATTATATTGTTTAAAAAATTAGAGCTAAATTTTAAATAAAGGTAAGTAAATAACAATAAATTTTGAATTAAAATTAGAAAATTTAATCGTCTTCTTAATGATTGCTCCAATTTTTGAATAATTTGCTCAACAATCACAAAAATTTCACGAAATTCATGGTCAATATTGATATATATATATAATGATACATATTTCATAAACGGAAGATAATGGTTGTAAGTGCATAGCATCAATAATCAGTCGAGGTACATGAGTCAGAGAGTGCGAATATTTTTTTTAAAAAAAAGAATTTTTAATATTTGGAAAGAGAAAGAACTTTTACCGGTTGGGAACATATTGTGATATTTGGGGAAAATTTCTTAATAATTAAGGGGAAACGTCTTAAAATAGGGATATATTGATTATGTTTAAATCAGGCCGATAATTAGCTGACATATTAATTATGTATTGGATAGTGAGCGGATGCCTCTATGAATAATTTAATTAATAAAAAATTAAAGTGAGATAGATAAATATATATATATATAGCATTATAGATATATATATATATATAGCATTATAAAAAAATAAAATAGATTATTATTATGTATTATTTTTTTTACAAATGCCGATTTAAAAATAAACAACTATATTTAAAAAATAATAATAAACCAAAAAGACGACTATTTTATATAACAAAAATAAACTAAATTCATATCAACTCACTGCCTACAGCAAATATTATTATGTATCTGAAGTTGCAATATAATAATATTGGCTATTCTCATAGTCTCCTCCAAATCTATATTATTCGTTTAAAAAATATTGCACAACATTGTTGTATAATTAATGAATCTATTTTACACATTCCAATGCAAAAAGAAAATCGGTTGTCTTATTGAATCCAATAAAGTATCTGCTTCAGGTGAAATATTTGGTTCATTCCTATATTTCTCCAAGGGCACTCAAGATAGGCTCTTCTAGATCCAAAACTGAGGTATCCGCTTGATGCCGTAGACTCCATCTGGTCGGGCATGGCATGTCTTTTTCAGATTTTTCTTGTAGCACAAGAAGTCTCAGAAATAATTTTATTATGTAAATATTGTCTATTTAAATATCTGAACATTTCGTAGATTAGAAATTTTGCCTAATCATAGTTATTAATAGAAATAGATTAAATAGAATTATACTTAGGCAATTTTTTATACACGGCAGAGAACGGGAATCAAATATGGCTAAGTTAAGTGAATAGCTGCACAATGTACATAAATTGCAGTTGGGAATATTTTTTTAATAAACGCTTGAACTCCATTATATACTTCATTTTCAATAGTTTCATTTAATTATATTTTCTGTAACTATTATTGGTGGTCATATATTTTTTATATTAAATTATACTACTTTTAGGTCTTTTGGTTGACAAAATTTTCTTATATCCATCGGTGTTTTTTAAAAAAAATTATACTTTAAATTTTCACGGGATAAAATATTAATACACAAGGAAAAAATATTAATACACAAGGAAAAAATATTAATATTTGAAATAAAAATCTAAACACATTTCATGAAAGCCTTTTATATTTTTTCAAAATTAATTTATAATCTGCATTTTGCTATGCCCCCCCCATTTGGCTACGCGCCTGCATTATATTTTTAAAATTTGCTAAGAGGGAGTGTAAAATCAAATTATATTTTTTAAGAAAATGTCTTCAAATGCTATATGGAAAGGAAGCTATGCCTTCTAGATTATATGTTTTAAAGAGTTATAAAATTTTATCATATTGTTGAGTTTTTCGACACTTAAATTTAATCTATATTAACATCACCACACAAGATAAAAATTATACTCTTTTATTTAGAGAATATATTTTTATATTATAATCTTGAAAGAAACTACTAAAAAAAAACATGGTAAAAATATCAAAAAATATGATACCGTTTCGAACTCAATATTTTGATTCAAAATGAGTGGCCTTGTTAAGTGGCTCGATTTGAGCCGATTTTTATAAACGGCTAACTCAATATTTTAGCCAGAAAAATATCGTTCTCGAGATTTCGCTAATATATGTCTTAACCTTTAGCCTATCTATGAGCAAAATCTTTAAGCTTAAGTGATATTTTTCTGGATAAACAACCCTAAAAATAAGGTATTTTGTCGTAATTCCATTTTTTTTAAAAAAATTTGGGATTAGATAAATATTACTCATGATTAATCGAGTTAAGAAGGACCCAAATCAAAAATTCGAATAATATTTTTAAAAATATTAATTTTTTCTCAAAAATCGAAATAAATTTTTTTTACTTACTTTTCCAAATTGAAAATGATTTGTGACACCCGCGGCATCGGTACCGAAATCCGTGTTTATTTTTTTCGAGCCTCATCTCCTGGCAACAGATGTTGATCGATGGTATGAATTTATTAGTCAAACAAAAATTATGCGCTATCGCTTGATTATGAATTTTTCCGCCCTCATCGAGGTCGGATACGAATGCGTGAGGCATCATTATGTTTTTTTGTTTAAAAAAAAATTATATTGATTTTTTTATGTGGATTTAAAAGAAAGAAAATAATATTTTTAATTTTAATGAATTTTTAAAAAAAATGGTTATTGCCTCTCTGGGGGGGGGGGGGGGTTTATTATTTTATTTTTTGTTATTTTTTTTCTGTTTATTTTTTTCGGTAAGTCACTGAAACTCGGGGAAATTTTTATTATTATTTTATTTTTAAATATTTTTTATTTATTTTTATTAAAAAACAATGGTAAGTCATTGAATCGCAGGGAAATTTTTTTATTTTGTAAAACTCTTTTTTTTGCCTTTAAAATTTGATTTATAGCTGTGAAAAAGGAAAAAATAGAAAGTAATGTAGAATAATTACAAATATTTTTAAATAATTTGGAATATAAATTTTAGCAGCTTCTCCTAACCCTGCGTTCGCGGGGTGAAATGTTTTTTTTTCCTACAGGACTAAAAAAAATTTATAACGAGCTAGTCCCGAGTTGATTTGAAATATAGCAATTGATAAAAAAAAATTTTATTCGAATGAATGTATGAGGTTTATTTATCCCTTATTCACGGTTAGCGCGAATTCGCGACGATGAATATAAAAATACCACATATTTTTTTTTATAGTTCGCCCGGGTTAACTGTGAATGAAGGGTTATGCGGACTCAAAAAAACAGTTTAAAACTTAAAAACTTAACTGTGTTAAAAATGAAATTAATTTTTCTCACATTATATTTATATATTTTCCCCTTGAAAATGATTTAAGCTATTGTAAATTTAGATGATATATATCTAAGGGATTTTTTTTTAGTAGCAACGTCTTTTGCCTCTCTAACCATGCCATGAATATGAAGGTTAGGAATATTTGACCTGGAGGAAATGTTTATGCATTTATAATTCCACGCTAGCGATTACGTTTTTTTATGCCTGGATTAGCGGATTAAAATCGCCAATATGGTCGAATGTGCTAATTTTTCTCTATTTGGGCATTAAAAAAATACTATTCTGAAAAAAATAATATAATGGATATCTATAATTTTTAAATTTTTTTAATAAAAGGAACTATGCCATGAATAGAAATTAAATATGATCTACACATAGGCGTAGTGGGGGGGGGGGTGAGCAAGGGAAAATTTCCTTCTCTTTCTGAAATTAGCTTGTTCTCGTAATTATCATTTTATTAAAAAAATTTTCCCTTCTCCAAAAATGTATACAATATATCACGACAAACAATAATTTAAAAGAAAATAAAGTTGAAGTAAATAATTTTTTTAAAATAATGACGATAATTCAAAATTTTTTTTATATATATAAAGAGTCACAAACCAAAATTTCAAATAAAAATATTCATGGATTGCCCACATATATTTATATTTCTCAAACCTTATTTTCCTTAACCTTAAGATAAGGCTTAAGCAACTAGTTTAGTTTTGGTAAGCCAGAACCAATCATAACTTTTGGTAGAAGGGTGTGGACTGGGGGCCTTACCTAAAAAAATTCATATATCTATCTTCTTTATGCTATCCTTCTTTCATGTGGGTGGGTCACTTTGAAAAATTATAAGCATTTTAGAATTAGGTATTATTTATCTAATTATTTTAAAATGTATATAATTTGTAATAAATGACTTAGGTAATTATTAAATGTTTTCTTTTATTCAATCATGAGGGGGGGGGGGTCTGAGCCTCAAATGCCATCCCATAATTAGGCCCCTTCAACTAGTTTAGACACACTACATATTTTATGTTCAAACTGGACAAGTTAGAAATATCTCTTTTTTCTACACCTATTTCCAGTTTTCGATTTTGAGAATTTTTTTTTACTAGAAGGTTATCATGTCGGGTAATTTTATGAAAATTTCTCATTTCGCCTATATTAAGTCTAAATTGATTCTATTCTTACAAACTCTTATAATATTTAGTTTAATCTATATATTATATTATATCATTATAGTAAATTTTGAATCTTTCTTACTCTCTAAATTTTCATTTATTTGGATAATTCACTGAGGTTAAAATTTACCCTGGGGGTGGTGCATGGGAACTGGTCACATATTCATGGTCCTTATTTTATGATAGCATCTTTAAATGTTTAATCTCCTGGTGTTATACCATATTAGTGACATCGCTAGGAAAGGCAAAAAAATCATCCTTTGGGCCCTAAAATGTATCTTGAACACCTAAAATATTTTATATTTGAGGCTCGAACCGAAGTCAATCAGGTCCTGCACTATTACATGACTATAGCTAACCATAACGACGTGACTAATTTTGACCAAGATGTTATTTTAGATTAAATATCTAAATGTGTAATCCGAATTTAAGGAAGATGATTTTACTATTAACATGTTTCCAATTTATTTTACTATAAATATTAGTCAATAAAAAAAAATTTTAAGTCACTGGATTATAAAAAGGCAATTTCTCAATTTTGAGCTGCAATCCTAGTGGCTTTATATAATGTTGACCATCATTTTATTCGATATTTTTTATTTTTCTAGCAAATCGAAGATTCGGTTATCATTCTAACTCGGCCCGGCGATAAAAAGAAAATAATTTTCCACGATGACGAATCATGCAAGTTTTCCATCCATCCAGGTTATTTTTCTATTTATGTTTAGTGCATATTGATTTCTTTTACCCCCCCCCCCTCCTTCCCCCCTTTTTCTTTCTATTTTTTTTTAACTTTTGCACTAATTATTATTATTGTAATTATTATAGTATTTGAAGGGATACAAATAACTTATTTAAAGTTATGTTTTTTACTCCAAAAATATTTATTATCTTTAAGATTTCGTGAAAATCTGGAAAAGCATAAATATCGAGAATATCGACGAATCTAAAATCGAAGAATCCTTGAGGAACAAAGGAATCAACGCTATGAAATCTAACAACTCAGAATTCCCCTCTGATAAAGTTTTACACTTTTTTTTCTTCTCTTCAAAATAAATTTTAATACCTAATTATGTTATGATATAATTTTTATTCTGTTATTTAAGAAACTCTCTAAACTTTCCCTTTTTTTCTGCAAAATTTTTGAGTTTTCTATATTAAAAGGAGATAAGGGTAGACCAGGGATGGTTGAGCCACTTTTCGTTCAAACCTGAATGGATTCAAAAATATTAGACTAATCTGAATAAATAAAATACCTTCTGATTCCTAAAAGTATAGGCTATTGGAAATAGTTAATATATATTATAAAAAAATTATGCTTATTTAAAAAATTCAGTCTGAATTTTTTTGTTAACCCAATCATGGTACGTTAGGACACCTATATATGATAGTTGATCCACACATAAAATAGAAATCTAAATATAAGAATATATTTTTTTTGGATAAATTTATTGACAATATCATAATACGTATTAATTAAGTAAAATAAATTAAATCGAATTTAGAGATTTTAAAAATTATGAGAATTTTTGTAAAAAAAAAATTAAAATAAAATAAAATACTATTTAAAGTATATTATATTAAAAATTAAATATGCCAAAACTAATAGAGCCAACTATCCTATGACTAACCGTGACCTATCGCACGAACTTTATAGTATAATTCAAAATCATATTAATTCTTATGATTCTGAAAAATTGTCAGATTAAAAAATAGGGTTTAAACTTTCCTGTAATTCATTAATTATGATTTTAAAAGTTCTTTATAAATCTAATTTTTGTTACATTTGATATGCTAAAATATTTATATTTTTCAAATTTTTTTTAAGCCAATAATATATGACGTAATTATCTATACTAGGCTGAAATTTCCAGTCTTGTAAATTAATAGCTTAAATTATTGATTTGAGTGGGCTAACTTTCTCATGTACTCAACGTGCCTCCGTTTCCCATATTATTCATACATAAGATGTGATATATTACTTATTATTGTACATTTTATCATTTAGTTCTGATATATTTAAAATTCTAATATCAACTATATCTTATTTTAAAATTTTATGATAGGACAGGTTAAATACTAAATATTTTATACACTCTCCGGTAACCCTAAAAATTTCGGATCTTTTGATGACAAATCTTATAATAGTCAAATAATTTTTATACACTAATATTTTAGCTTACCGCAAGCCAAAGAAGTAGAAGACGCAGACTCAATAAACCTAGAGCTCAAAAACCTTTATCTATGAAATTTAATGAACATATGGTCGGAGTATTGCAGGATTATACGATCAATAAATGACTCCAATGTGTGTTATGTTTGATACGATGAGTTATTTATATAAAAATATTTAAATAGGAGAATAAATAATTATTTTTTTTTGCATTTTTGCAAATTTATTTCACAATTCTCTGTGTTTATAATATATATTTTTTTAACGTTTACATGAGCCCTCTATGGGCTTGGTTCATACTTTTCATTTTTTTATTAAATAGCTGGAATGGATAGGCCTAAATTTGTTTTTAAATCGTAATCTTTAAATTTATAATTATTATAACAAAAGACCTGCCGACCCGGTCTATATCTGTCTCTGAGTATTTTCGAGCGATTAAAAAAATTTTTAAAATATAGAAATAAATGATATTATAATTTAGATTTTATGTAAAGTTTGACAGAAACTATTTACAAAATAGAGCCAAAATGATTTATGATGACAAAATTAAAATATTATATTCCGCGCCATAAAACAATTAAACTTTTTTAAAAAAATTCGGTCGCAAATATTTTATATCCCGGGCCTTTAAATATTTACCTCTGCAGGCCTTTGATATTGATTTTATGGCTCTAATTTAACCAATTTCAGATTTGTTGGAATGAGCAACATCATTTCTAGGCCGTGCCGCGACTATGTAAAGATAATAATAGGCCCCTTATAGATTGCGAAAAAATTTCTACCGGAAAAGAAAAGGCTTTTTAAACAGGCGAGGAAGAAGGTTAACCATATCAATAACTCATAAGAATTTTATAGGTTTTTTATTATTACTGTATTTAAAAATGAAAGTTAAAGCTGATCATTCTTCTTTTCTTTTTTTTTACCAACTAAACTTGTTTTCCTATACATTTAAAGGATTAATTAGTAAAAATATTTTATTGTTGCCTAAATAATTGGAGAGAGGGTAGAAATTCACTTTTACAATCAGGAATTGATTAAAATAAACAACCGAGACTCTAAATATTGGCGCAGATATAAGTATGCTACTGTTCTTATTGTGTAAGATTGTTTTGAAACGGCCGTCAATTTTATCATATATTCTTTGGCCGGCGGAATGTCTTTGCATACGTAACTGTAATACGTCTTTAATATATTTAAAAAAAATATATATAATTAAATTTAAAAAGTTCAAAGCCTTTCCTTCTTTTAACATCCTTCAAAACCTTATCTTATTACCTTTATTTCTTAGACCATGCACAGGGCTTCGAACCAGAACGAAAACCGTTATAATTTTTAGAACCATAACCTTAACCGAACCGTTATAAAGAAAAAAAAGGGAACCGAACTGTTCTAAATATTTTGAACAAGTTTAAACCTGTTCGTGGCAGTTTTTAAAATTAATTAATTTTAAATTATTAATCTAAATTTGAAATTTAAATTTTCCTTTGGAACGATTTAAATTCGTGGTTTTTTTCCAAATTAAATCGCCATTATCTTCCTATCAATAAATAGTTTATTTTTTTATTACTTTATATACTCAATTTAATAGAGATTAGGCAAATTGCTAGTTAATTAGATAAGAAAAAATCTTCATGGGGAAATTAAATCAGGATAAAAATATAAATTAAAAAGATTTTTCTTTATGATTGATTTTTTTTAAAAAATCGAATTTATAAAAACTGGAACTAACCGAAAAGAGCCGTTGTAAATTCTAAACCGAACCGATATTGATTTTTTCAAAAAAAACTAAAATGGAACAAAACTTTTATAAAATTTTTAACTAAAAACCGAAACGAACTTAACGGTTCGAAGCCCTGACCATGCATAGTCAAGGGGTGGTTGAGACAAATTTGCAAACTGCCCCTCAATTCTCAAAAAATGAATAATTATGTCATTTATAAACGATTATAGACATATTAAAAGAATGGCTAATTGAAATTTTTCAGAAAGAAACCATTTTTCATTTTAAAAAGTATAGTAAAGAGACCTAAATTATTTTTCATTAAATATCATCTGATTAAAAGTCTGCAATAGTCGGGCCACTTCCAATAAAATTTATGGAGAGAAAAGCCACCTAAACCACTTTAAGAAAACTCTACGCCTTTTTAAGGCGATGTCAAAAACATCAAAAAAATAAATTCACAAACTTTCGAAATTTTGATGAATATAAAATAATTTAGCTATTTTGAATGTAAAAAAAACATGTCAAAGACATATTCTTATTAAATTTTATAAATTTCAAAAATTTAACATTGCTATTTAAATTTGCGATAGTTTTCAAACTTTACGAATTTTTTTAAGAATGATTTCGGACACAACCTAAACAACAAAATAAATCATAATGTATGGTATGTTTTTTTAAAAAATAAATAAATTTGTCGCACTGGTGGCACTTCGTTTTCATATAAAATAGTCTCATTTTTGACATCTATGATCGAAATGAAGAGTATAGCTATGTTTTCCAAATACAAAGGTCTCATTTCCTTATCTATTTGGCGCCAAGTCACGATCATACTATAATTGGTGGAATTGAACTGCGACAATACCATCGGCGTTTTTATTTGAGGAACCAAATCGTGCCCTTTAATGATTTTTTTATGTTTGCAAAAATTACCTATCTTACCCTGCCACGTTTAGCACGAATCCGCGGCGATGTATAAATATGCTGCGGAGTAGTTCTGTTAAACAGCTCGTTTTGAGTCATTTTTTAAAAAACGGATAACTCAATATTTTTTCCAGAAAAATATTACTCAAACCTTAAGATGTTGCTCATAGATGGATCTGAGGTTTGAACATCTATTAACGAAATCTCGAGGCTTACGTTAATATTTTCCTTACTAAAATATTGAGTTAGCCGTTTTTAAAAATCGACTCGAATCGAGTAGTTTAACAGAAGTATAAAATATATGCTGTATATTTGTATAGTTCACCGCGAATTCGCACTATCTCTGAATAAAGAGTTAGGCTACATTTATAGTAAGCGCGATTCGTTCAAACGATACGAAATTTTTCGCTACATATTTTTACATAATCTAGCCAATAATAAGTATAATATATAAATACTGGGTGAAACATTCCAAATCGCTACAGATGTTTACGTATATTTATTAAAAAATATTTCCATAATGAATCAGCTATAATTTCGCTAACGATTAATTTCGCATCGCTTGAACGAATCGCGCTTGCTATAAACGAAGCATTAAGGTTAAAAATATAAAAATTTAAGTTTGTGTAATGACTTTTAAAAGTATATTTTTTTTAATGAGCTGATTTTGTTTAGATATTCATCAAATTTATTATAAATTTATAATCTATACTATTGGTAATAATATTTAAAAACTTACCTTTTATGAGTACTTTACCATCATAACCTGAATAGGATAAAAGATTAATTATATTTTAAAAAAATGAATTAAAATTTGAATAAATTTTTAAAAGATGAATAACAAAATAAAATGCTGAATATTTAATTCTTTAAATCAAATTGAAACAAACGAAATGCTATGCAATGAATTAATATAGTTGATATTCTTCGTATTATAGTATAGTTATTATATGAACATTTTTTAGGATAGGCTAAGTTTTCCCTAATATTTGTCAGGCCGAAAATTCGCGTAAAATATTTTTAAGGTTGAGTTGGTTCGGAAGTTTGCAAGCATTTTTTTATAGCTTATTAGGCAAATTCATCTTTTTCCTTCATTAAAAATTATTACCGGGCAAGATAAAAAAAATTTTGAGCCTGACTAAAGAAATTTTTGCTGTGCAGGCCAAGCTGATTTTTATTAGTTATCGATTTTGATCAATATATTTTTAAAAATAACTATATCTTTAATGAGCAAATCTATAAGTTTTTTCTATACTTATGCAATTTTTTTTACATTTGAAATGTGACATGGCTGAATACGCGTTCGAGAAATTTGTTGATTTTGTATAGTTTGCGTAAATTTGAACGTAATATCCCCCATTTTTGGGCAGATCATTGACAATGAAATTGTTCAGCATCTTAACAGAAATGTTATAATGAATTTCACAGATGTGCTAGAGGGGGGAGGGAAAATGCCAGCCACTCTCGGCAAGTTTGTTAAAATACGAATAACTTATATTCGTGTGAATCAACTTGACATTTTTCCAATCGAACAACCTCGAATTTATAAGAATCGAACGAATGTTTTATTATTTACTTAAATAATGAAACTAGTGTTGTTAAACGGCTAACTCTATTTTAGCCAGAAAAATATTGCCTATTGAGATTTCGCTAATAAATGTCCAAACCTTCTTGCCATCCAAGACCAAAATTTTCAATTTTCAAGCTTGCTTAATTTTTTCTCTATAAAATATTGAGTTAGCCGTTTTTTAAAAATCGGTTCAAATCGAGCCGTTTAACAGCACAAAATAAAACCATTAATTGTATTCGCAAAAAAATAATTTTTTGAAAAATTGAAAAAAAATGGATTATACAAATAATTCTATTTTTCTAATTTTTTGTTAAATGAATTTTTTTTTAAAATAATTTTTATATTAAAATAAATTGATTAGATCAGTGTTCATTGTTTCTAATTGGTAACCACAAACTCTCAAAATGATATATAAATCAAAATGGCTCAAAAGCTTATAGCAAAATAAAATTATCTGAATTTGTGGGATAGGTTTTCTAAACATTATTATGAATAAAATTTTGACGAGATCATTTATATTTATATCTACTCAAATTTTCTATTTAAAATAAAACAAATTTTAAAAAAATGTATAAGTAATTGTTAAATTTTCGCGGGAAGACTGGGGTTGGTTAGACCTAACTGTACAAAATTTCTATAATCTAACTAAATGCCGCTTCATAACCAGCAGTGCCTAGAGTAATTTTCACTATACCCGGAGTAAAATAAGCCATTTGTTGGGGGGGGGGTGAGGGGGTAAGGTAAGCTCATTTTATTAATGGATAATTTATAAATAAAACACATTTTTATACAATTATTAAATAAATTTTAAATATGCCGGGGTTCAGTGTATATAACTAACCACAGACAACATGCCCCAGGTTCCCAAAAAAATTTTAATATAAAAATGTATAAAAAATATTTTATTAAGATAACGTTAGTTTCAGTTTAAAATAACCGAATTATAAAGTTAAATTTTTTATGCATAATATTTACATAATTTTAAATCATTCAT